GGCGGGTACCTTCGCAGCGGGACGGCAGAGCCCCCGGCTGGGCTCCGCTGCTGTGGGGAGCGTACGAAGGGATGAAGCGCTGCTCGACGTCCTCCCGCCGAAGCGGGGCTGGGAAAGGCCCTGCGCCGCCCGGCGCCCAGGTTAGCCCTGCTCGCGGCAGGACGCGGGCGCAGAGCCCGCCTAAGATCCCTCCCAACCTCACACGGTCCATGGACCTCCGGTACCTGCATCCCTCAAAAGGCAGATGCGCATTGCAGCTTTTACGGTGTTTTGGCACCTCAGCCCCACTGAGATAAATGGCATGGTCACTCGCTGGGTGGTTTTAGTGTCGCTGCAACTCTTCTTAACAAACCTGGCTCCGGGGCCTTGTCCCAGGTCGCCGCAAAGGGGAGGCAAAGCCAGGGCCTGGCCTCAGACCTGCTGCGCCGTGGTGCAGCCTCGCAGGCCCACCGCCCCTCTGACAGCAGCTCCCCAAAAAAACCTCTCCCACGCTCACCGGAGAGGCTGTGCTGCCTCTCATTCCCCAGTGGTATTGTCGCAAGCGTGAGCAATGCATCCGTGGCGGGCACCTGAACAGCCACCACTATTTTGAAATAAATTAATTATGCATGAGTTAGGGCAAAGAGAGTCACAATATTAGTTTTTAATTATTTTTAATTTGCTTTCTTAGAGGCTGAAAAAACATCCTTTGTAGAGAGACGCTGAGGTTTGAAAGGTGCCTTCGGCCAGCCGGCAATTCTGAGACAGCCCTTTTAGAATAACTTGGTCTTTACAAATAGAAATTGGGCTTGTCAGGGCTGCTTCTTGCGGCTTCTTGGGCACGCAGAGGAGAGAGAGGCTGAAGGAAGCACGGGTGGGACTGAATGTGTCTCTGTGGGGGGAGTGTGCACAGAAAGCCCACGCTGAACTCGGCTCCCTCCTCGCTGCTGTTGTAAAGACGAAGTGCAGTAAGTTTTGTGCCAGTTGTTTGTGAGAAAGTTAATTCTGCTGCAAGGAGGAGTGTTACACACTGAGTAAACAGCTCAGCCCGACTCTAATAGGATGATTGCAGCCTGCTCTCTCTTGCACCGGTGTAAGTGGGGTGGCCGGACAAGCCGGCCTGTCACAGGGTTCCTCTCCATGGCCTTTTGGTGTTCGTGAGCCTCTCCAATAGCACCG